ACCATGGTTTGTCACCTGTTATCATTAACGTCCGCTCCCGTCTTTGAACTTATTCCATCAAAACCAAAATGCAACCAACTCCCACTTGCTTTCATAATATTTCCGACGTATAGTAAGGCATACTCCCCTTTATTTTTTTACTTGTTTTTTTTTTTTCAAATGGCCGTTTTCTTATCTGAATATCATTGATTGATTCCCTATGAGATAATTTGAACTGAATGCGGAACATCAAAGTCACCAAAGGATGAATCAACGCTTAATGCATGCATATCATTCTGCCATCTATTATTGCTGCATTGCTAGTTAATCCTAATTGATTCCATCTAGCTTAAAGTTATGAAAGATAGTAAGTTAAGATTAGCTTCTACTCAAATAGCTAATCAGCACCTTTAACTTGGAGAAGATCATTTTCAACTCGAATTGAAAGATGTATTCTACCACGTCTTTCGATGTAATCTGTCCCGCACATATTAGGCACATACTTAACACATTTATGGTGCACATTCACATCGCAAGATTGACATTTTTTACCCTAAAAATGGATAAAATTATGCATCCTTTTCTACTGTTGTTGATTAAAAATTTAAAAAAAGTTGTGAAGCCGACAACCTGATGAATGATACCATAAAGCAGAGATCCACAATGATCACAAAAAGTCGGGGACGAATATGAGTGCACCTTCCATTTATGCTGCTGTCGTGGATCCTAAAAAATAGAGAGCTTACTGTTTTGAGAATGGAATTTTTTTCAGGTCTACAACTTTTGATGTAATACTGCCCAAATTTTCATCCAAAAAACTTTTTGTTGAAATTTTAATATCTTCAAAAAGTCGATGAGAAACCTCGAAAACAAATACGAATTCTTTTTCTAACACTCGCTAACTGTACAGTAAATGTCAATTAAAAATATGAAACTAACGTCGGTATCAACACCTTTATCAGCACCAGGACATTGAAAATTAACAAACTGATGACACCTTTTATGTACTACAAGTGCGCATACTGCAATTAATCAAGATATAATTTGAAAGCGAATTTATTAATCTAAAGCTTCAATTTAGAACGAATGAAAATCGGCAGTTTCTAAGTTGATAATTGCTAGGGAAGAAATCGGCGGCAGATACTTACTCTGACACTGGAAGCCTTGTTTATTAAGGCCCCAAAGAAATTCCTTGCAATGTGAACAAAATGTCGGCTGTTTAAAAAATCGTGCAATAAATTTATGCGCTCTGAAGATTGAATTTAATTACCCAGTTGTTTTCAAATACTATTTCTTATATCGAACAACATGTTACGACTAGAACAAATGATCTTACTATCAATTAATTAAAGTCTTGAAATTGATAAAAACGGAACGAAAGCATACTTGACTTCATGAACATTCTTTTGTCTTAGTGCACCTTTTCGAACAATGCCTTTACCTTCGATCCGTTGCACTGAAATAAAATCTCTTTTTGTTGACCAAAAATTTACTTGCTTATTCTAAAAAACTAAATATCAACTTTTAAAATAATCACTTCTTGAATGTAGCAGAAAACTGCTAATTTAATGGACTATTTCGTTACAAATAAATTATTTAGCATTCACTATGTAGGTGTTCAGAGATGTATTGCAGTACCATAAGTGATCAAAATACAGCTTATCAGAAAATTTATATACTTCGCAGTGCCAATTTGCATCATTTTCTTATGCAAAACTTGAAAGGATTGATTGGATGATTTCCATAAAGTCGGGCAGTTTTGATAACTTGAAATGCCTGGAAGCTCCTGTGTGCTCTGAAGTTTTTCCAAAAAGCTGGAAATTCCTAGTTATCTCTGGATGGTTTTATCCCTTCCAAGTTATTCCACAAAATAACAAATTCTTTGTTTTTACTATGATGAAAATATTCACAAAGCAGTTTCTTTTAAGCTACAATTCATAGGCAATTAATTGCTAATTTTGAATAATTGAAGTATATTTAAATTTACGGTTTCATCTCAATTTATTTGAACTGTTCGCAATTAATATTCAATTTTACCGAGAATTGCACTGCTAAAAAAATCAACTTTAAAGACATTTCAGGACACCAACTACGAAACATTTCTGAGAGATATTGAGAAGATGGTGGAAAGACTTATCCAAAGATATATTAACAGACTGGATGAATAGATGAATTTCGAGGCACTTCTTTCTTAATCAAGAGTGTCACGGTGGTCATTAGTAAGAAGTGAATTAAAAGCTGAAAATATGCACGAACGATAACAATTAAGGAATGGAATAAATTAACTGTCAGTAAAACAAGTAGTGATAACAAGCGCAACTAATCAAGAAGTCACAAATGCCAGATAGCGAAAGTGATACAAGTAGAATCTAAGAAAGATTTGCATGCAGATTTCAGCGAATGACAGCAATTCTCACATTTTCTCAGAGCTTTACGGATTGATAAATACTTTAGGTAAATTTGAGATTTCTTCCGTAAAGTATCGCCAACTCGACGGCAGTGAGATGGCATCCTTAATTTTCCGCCATTTTCTACGCCATCATGTCGACTGCTCTCGCTGTAGTCGCTGTTTTCATCCAGATCTGCTCCATAATTAACTTTCTCAAAGTTTTGATACAAAATATCGGTGTTGCTGGAAGAAATGACCGGTAAAATGATCGCATCCAACGAATCAAGCAAATTTGATGACAATTGATTGCACAAACAGCAGTTTCCTGGATGACAGGATGATGAGCCTGAATTGTTGTTTCTGCACAGCGAATTGTGAAGCAAAATGTCATCAAAAACAGAAAAAAAGTCATTTGCAGCCAGAATGTCGGAAGATATGGACGTGGACCTCTTTATTCGGTTTTGCTGACCTTTGAGATGTTCGGTGTCAATAGTGAGAGGTCTGCATTCTTCACCCATTTTTGAATAGTCTAGCAGTATTGGATTAATGTTTTAAAATGATAGATGAGGATTGATGGATTGGATGATTGCACTGTTGTAGATTGGAGGAAAATCTTCACATCATATATCAAACGGAATGAATGAATGAATGAAAACTGTACGTTGTGCTCTTCTGAAAGGATGAATGCAATTTTTTGGGGAAAAATTTTTTTCCTCTGCTTCTCCCCAACAGAGGAACTGAATGATTCAGCAGCAGTCCCTGCACCATCATGCCACCAAGAAAAACACCTTCTACATCTCAGCTGCTATCTCCTATTATTACTCTTACTCCAAAAATTCACTCACTACTGTTTCACAGGAAAAATCAAAAATGATTGATTATGTTGACTGCCTAATCAGGGCATATGCATATCAGCTGTACTACCACATGTCATATGCATCATGTTCGCATTGTCTCGCTGTCGCTTCTGTACCCAAGCACATGTTTCCAATAATAATGGTTTTAGAGAAATTAATTTCCATTAATTTCCATAAATTGTACACTCCCTTCATCATCCTTTCCAATTATTAAACTTTGAATTGTAAAATAATGAAGCATTTTTGGATCGATGAGAAAATAGTGGTAAAAAGACCGATGGATTTTTTTTTCTTCCTTATCGGATTGTCTAAAAAGGTGAATCTTTTGGTGGAAAAACAAGCCTAAGCAACTTAATTTCTACGAAAAAGCTAGAATTTTCGGTTCTTGAAACAGAATTATCTCTGGACTAGCAAAATAAAGAATGTAAAGTAGGTGCGATCAGATTTCACAAAATTTTCCCAATATATTTGTAAGTAGATCTCATATAAAGATTCAAAATTGTAGATCCATCGTAATGCAATTTGAATCTAATTTTCAATAGGTGTTTACTAAACAAGCTCCAAGAATTATGTCACTATCAGATTTTACAGATTTATCCTTCAAAAAGATTATATTTGAATCGTTAAATCGCTTATCACTTCTGTGAACATGCACTAGCTATAGAAACATGATGATATCGCGAAATACTTTTCATAAGTAACTGCAGCATATCAGAGAGAAACGGACATACCTAATGCTTCGGAAAGTTTTCGGAGTAATTTGGATGATTCCAACATCGGATCAGCAACACCAATACCGCCAGCAGAACCACTTTGTAAGCTTGCTCCTTTCATTTCTTCAGCATCAGGCAATAGTTTGTCAAAATTTTCCACATTCAAGGTGGAAGTAGAATGACCGGAATTCGCTTCATCTCCAGTTTCCGGAACGTTGGTTCGGTCCACATTACTAGTTGACTGTTCAACATTAATCGGAATCGCAGATTTCGTCGACATATCGTGGTAATCTTACACAATATTCTCTAATATCTGTTGACGAAGATGCATTTTCACGTCTGCTAAAAAAAAAAAATGTTTGTAGTCAGTATAATCCGAATATGCAAATGAAATGGAAGTCACGCACCAAAAAAAGAAAAGAAATGCAATAGAAGTTCCAGAGACTGTGAATGAATTAGTGAAATAAATGAGTAAGCAAATTATCATCTCTGATCCCAACTGTCACTTAACACTTTTATTGCATAACAAGCCAAGCCAGAGGTGACCCTTCACGATCAGTGCAGTATTCCTTCAAATGGAGCAGTAAAACTGAAATATCTAGAGGGCGGTGTGACTGTATAAAGAACATTTTATGAACAAAAGAAAAAAGCAAAAGTTGATAAAAAATCAAAATTTTTGATAAAATTCCTTACGTCTACAAAGTGAAAGGCTATGCATTTAGTATATTTAGCAATTTGTAACCATTTGTTTTTCAAATTCTCCACTATTCATTTCTTTTATCATATCCAAACTTCTCTCCCTACAACAATTTATTGAGAAACAGGAAAGCAAAATGGTAATTTTCTTTGTTTACGAAGAAAGTATTATTTTGGTGTGGAAAGAAGAAAGTTCGATTTTTGACAAATGCGATGTGGTAACATGAAATGCGAGAGAAATGGGAAAGTTGAGGGATCGAGAAAAGAATGTTATATTAGTGTCCATGGAAGCTAAGAAAGCATTCCCCGAAAATGTCAGTTCTTTGCTTTAATCTGACTTCAATTTGATGTACCATCATCATCCTTTCATATTCCTCTCATCACCGCTGTAATGGAAAGCTTTACAATATTTTGGTAACAAAGTTCAATTGCACTTCTGCTGCCACTACCGCCAATTTTAGGAAATTGTTGTACTGAAAAAGAAGCAAGATGGAGTCGGCAAACAGTGTGATGAATATTCCATTTGAAGCAAACTTTCAAACCGAGTTTTGCCCGATAAAAAAATAAAAATTTCTACCACTTTAATTAAGAAAAGACAAAATTTACGTCTTGGACTTGAAAGTGTTCAATTGTTAAGCTAAGATCATAAGATGAAAATCTCCGCAGTTTCCTTTTATTTCATCCAATATTAATACTGGGATCCAACGGAACAATCCTTCAAAATGGAATGAACGGAAGTATAATTTCGAATTTCTTCCTTCCCACCGCAAAACCACATCACGGTTGAAATTTCTCAGAAATCCAAGCAATGTTTGAAGAGAATAATTAATCCACAAATAGTCTGTTGCGGATGAATGCATTAGACGGGTCCTGTCGCTATTCCCACAGGGTGTTGCATACATTTATATGGAAAATAACAGATGATGATGTCGCTAAATGTTCCTGATGCATCCAATTTAATGTTCTAGCAGCAGGGAAAATGCACATTGCTTTCGCTTAGAGAGATTCAACTGCTAAAAAATTTCAAGGGATAAAATTGAGTTAAGTTATCAGCATTACGGAGGATAATGGTTATGAGATTGGAGTTAAGCAGAGCTTAGTGTAAGCAGATCTTCCTGTCGTTCCTTTTTTTTAGCTCTTATCCCTTTTAGCCCTTATCCCCATCATTATATCTTGTATGCTTCTATCTAAAAGAAAAAAGCACCAACGGATGTAGATACAGTCCCTGCAAATTTTTTAAATCCTTCCTCGCTGTTCTCCTCCTCCTCCTTTTTATTACTTTAATTTACCTTCGCAAATCAGTAACAGGACTGGAAGTTCTAGCTAAAAGCAAAATCCTCAATTTTAGCGCTCATGCTATTTACTTACATTACCAAGCATTATTTTCAATCAGTCATGTTACTGACATATGTTAGGGGGTCTTTTAAATTTCTCTTCACAATTAAATTTCAATAGAATATTCATGAAATTTTCGCAGAAATTATATAATACTTCGAACTGGCATAAAGAACAATAGAATCATAATGCTGGATAACCTAAAATACGGAAGAATTGAATTCCCAGCAGAGTTGTACTAACTATGAACGCCAAAAAAGTATGCTCTTTTCTTTTTAAAAAAAGCCTCAAGATTGTTTGTCTGATAATCATCGAAAAAGAGCATTAGCATAAATTCCCAAAGTATTGTAAAAATGGCTCATCGTATGGAAAGTGATATGGATTGGAAAACTTGGCGGGGCGGTATTTTCATTTGATAAATTAACGACGGTATCGGCGCATCTCACTGGATGCAGGAATAAGCTACAGAGTGACAGAGACCATGTTAGCTACGTGCATTTTTCTTCACTGCCTTATGGAAATACTATGATTTTCTTGCTAAATTTTTAATGATTAATTTATTGAACTAAGAACCCTCCCAATATTGTTTCTGTTCTGCTTATTACAGCAGGCGGCTTTGTATATCTTATTCTATCAAAGTTTGATGTTATTTAGATCAAACAGGCAGCATCATCTGACCGATTGTCCTTTTAAGTGTGAATCAATGAAACTAGCTTGTATCAGATAATCTAGAAAGTTTCTTGAAATCATGGATAAATAATAACTACCAACCTACTCTCACAATTAATTTTATGCTTTCTACTCTTCAACGTTCGATTTTCTAAACATACTTTCAAAATGAAAGCTCACACAAAGCGTTTGATATCTAAGAATCATAAAATTCGCCATTATTTTGGCTGTAATTGACAAATGACTGACAGTTAACCAAAAATAGGAGCAAATGATTCAATTGATCACTTTTTTGTACAGCTTCCCTCAACAAAAAAAAATGCATTTTTTTTTTGAAATTCCCCGGTTAGGGTTTACAATTGTTTGAATATTTTGCAATCGTTTCTGTGAAATATAATTTGGTTTTCAAGCAATGTTGCTTGACGCTATGATTTGAGAGATAACGATTCAAGTTAGAAGTATTACTGAGGAATAAATTCTGAATAATTAATGAGAAAGGAAGTATTTAACAACACTTATGCACTATCACTACTGTACTGCTGAAATTGGCAGAATTTGGTCTTTAAACAAAGTTTGCAAATTCTCAATGCTAAAATGGCTTTCTCTAATATTCACCAGTTAGTTCTCCTACCGATTGCTGTCATAACAAACACTTTTAAGAGAAACAGCGAATTGTTGCGAAAAGCAAAATTTCGAATGCGGACTTAATTTTTCATAAAGGAAGTCTACGGAGAAACAAATCAGATGAGTAGTTATAGCATTTTACGAAGCCAAATTCCTTCATACTTAGATTACAGGCCAGATTTCGATGATTCTGGAAAAATAAATCAAAAAGTAGTTGACTGAAAATATATGACTGAATATTTAATTGAGAAGTAGAAATATTGGTTATGATTTATTATAATCCATTTTCGGAGGTTAATTCAGTCTATAAAACTCATTATCGGGCTACTGCTATATAAACAGTTCATTAGAATCTGCTGATATTTTTAATGCATAATTTTTTGTTATTTTAAATGGCTGAAAAATAAATAACGTAGGAGCATTCGACCGAAGTGGTTTGTCCGATAAAATTTCTTTTAGCTTAAATGAAGAGGAAATTAGCAGGAGTTGATAATTGACGCCTGTTAAATTACTTTTATTTTTCTATTTGTTTTTATCGCTGTGCAAACGGCATTTGATAGCTCAATGAAATTAACACCTTATGACTGCGGAAAAGATCACCAAATGATTGTGGGTTTTATGCAAAATATTATCAGATATATTATAATTAGAATGAAACAAGTTAAGACATGTTCAAAGTGTATACACAAAAGTTGTGTATGCACTTTGGAGATTAAATCTACGCTAAATGAATCAATAATTATTTTTTGCAACTTCAATACAATGTTTATAGAATTTGATGTATGAAATTTAAATTTTGTCAAGTTTCTCATTTCACTTGATAATTTGAAAAGAAGAAGTTGGGATAGCCCATAAGGTAATCACTTATTTAGAAGGAATTTGCATGATAATTAGATCATGCGTTCCACAAAGATAACGTGCCTTTGATTTTCAGCGACTTTCATGAATTTACCACGTTTTTTACTAATATTAGTTTCAGCTATCAATCAAACATAGTTCCAATTACTGCTTCACTATTTTCGTTTTTAGCGATTACTTTAATGGATATTATTATCACAACTCAGACTTAATTTGCTTCAGACTGCAGTAACTTCTATTTTCAGAATTTTGACTAGTCGTTTGCTAAAAATTTCAAGACTTCTATCATCTAACAGTTTGTTTAAAAGTTAATGATATTACTGATTTCACAAAATTTCAAATTGAAATCGTAACTGGTGCGTACTTTGTATTCTGTGACAAATTTTGTTTATGGTACTATTAACTTTGAAGGAAATCTTTATTCCCATGGATAAATATCCATTTGCAGTTTGAGTGTCAAACCAAAAACAGAATTTTAAAAAGTAATAATATTTGACAGGCCAACAAAATGACATTTGCATATTATGTAGTATTGTGAGCAGTTCGTGTTTTCAATAAATTCTTAAGGAGGGGTTGACATGTTGGCATTCGGAAGATATTAACTTACAAATGGTTCACTTATATTCCGATTCTTGATCAGCGATAGTCGTAATTCTTTGAACCATTTACAGCTGGTATTGAAGAAGATTATCTTTTCATTAATATTTTTACGAATTAAATAATTAAAGTGACTAGTTATTAAATAATTTGCCCTTGGTCAGGTTGCATTTGACAGAACAATCTAGAATCTGAGAAGTTTCAACCATCAAATAATGAGATAAAAGACCGGTAAAATTGTTATTTGGTCACTTTTTTGTCTCATATCTTAAACTTCTTTAAATGTTTAGTTTTCCCCCCGATGAGCTGTTATTTTTTATGTAAATAAGCATTACAAAAACTTACAGTACAGTTATTTCATTTCTTTTGTAAAAGATTTTAAATTCAACAAAAAGGGATGATTAAATTCTTTTTAAGATATGGTGATGAGTAGCAAGTATTTACGTCTGTCAATATAAACCTTTTAATCGTTATTAAGTTTCAGTTGGCGCTACATCCTAG